TCGTTTCTTGCTCTGGTACGCCAACCCGATCTCTTAAGTGTCAGTAGTGAGTATTCTCTTGCTCATGATTCATGAAGAATCGCCATGTCAAGCCTGAACCAGCTTGATCCACACTCGCCCGACATGGGTTGCTCAACTCCTATCATATCCTGGAGTGCAAAATCTTCAACCCAAAGGATCCCCAAACATGTTTTGTCTTGGGTCGACAAATTTTTGGGTGAGGGCAAAGTGGTCAAGTTTGCTCCATCCCAAACTTCTGAACTCCTTGCCTTCTAAAAATACTAGAAATGCAAGGGCCTTGTTGCAGCGATACTTGACAGAACATGTCAAACACAAGAGGAAAATGGATGACTATCTCATTCTCCATCTACTTGGGGGTGAACCCGGATTGCTCCCGTCCGTCGCTCATCTTCTTCTCGCGCATGACTTTGTTGCCCTGGGAGTTCAATGTGCGGCCACAAAATAATTGGATATCATTGGATTGTACTGGGTTGTGAGAGAAACAGACTTACACAACTAAATATTGTTCACCAGCCACACCACAACAAGTCGACCCAAAGATCCTGGTCTGTGGCCACATTCGGCGCTGAACTCCCACATCTGCCCTCAGCGATGACCAATCCACCATTAACTGGCTGCCCCGTCCTCAGAGCGCGGCAATCCCCTTCCGTTTCAGCGCCTGAGGTTTGCGCAAAAGTTCGTCGCTTTGTCATGCTTTGTCTACAACCGTTTGACACCAGGTCACCAGGTCACCCAGGTCCATCCCAGGTCCTCAACAAAGGTGAAGCATGTGCGTTGCTCTACCATCGGATTCCCGGTTCCATTGGGATGGAGCCACCGTCGCTGAACGAATCCTGGGATGGAGTATAGTGTTCTTTTTCATGCCCCTGGTCTTGCAAAGCAAGGGTGTCCCACCAGCAAAGCCTGCCACCTAAACTGAACCAAACCAACCAGTCATAACCAGCCATCGAGGAGTGCCAGTGAAGGAACTGGATGTCCACATTTGATTGTGTGCAATGACACTGCCACGAGCTCTTCGTAGGATCAAATGATATCAAATGCGATTGCTCAAACCAGTAGGTGTGCCGGACTGCAGGATTGTCCAGGTGCCGGCCGGCGCACGCCCCACTCGTGCCCCCACTCGTTGTGAACTCGCTCGCGTCGTCGAAGTCCACCCACGGATTCGAAGAAACGCAGTGTCAAAGGGTCAGAGGGTCTTCGTCCCGGTGGGGCAACCCCGGCGCGCTTGCAGAAGAGCGCCACTGTCCAACTGAAAAAAAACACACTCCGGAACCCAAGCTTCTGCTGGTTGAGCAAAGTGCTCGGATTCCATCGACACTGGGTATGTGGACCCCTAGGCCCTAGTAACCTAGTTTCATCTGGGTCTCCTCACCTCCACCGGGTCCTCGTCCCGTTCGCACACCCCCCTCTCCCTCTCGAATCGTTGGTCGACTTGGCCAGGAGGCGGGCGTGGCAGGTGGACCTGCAATCTGGCATCTCAGAAGGTTGGCCCTGCGATCAGTCACGCGAAGAAGGGGAGTTGCGAGCCGTCGCTCTTGCGCAGTGAAACCAAAATGGCTTCTGTTGAGAACCCAAGAATTCGTTGTTTTCAAGTGAAAAGCGTGCAACATGTTGAAATAGGGAATTTACTTCCTTCTGTCCTATGCAATGAAGTTGGGCCAAGGACTCATCTGAGCTCTGATGATTTACTCTATCCAAGTCTGAGGAAGCATGACAAAAGGCTTCAGCGTATTGGAGTATATATAGTGCTGGAGTTTAGAATATGGAAAATCCCAAAATAACTAGGAAACTGATCCTGTTTTGGGATAGGTTCAGATTCTAATCCATGAATGTTGTGAATCAATACGACAATAATACGACAATAATCACATGGGTGGGAACGCCGGCGGTTCGGTCTCCCTATTTCAGTTACATGGTAATGCCGAAGCCAATTACATGGGGCAAAGTCAAAACCGGCCGCAATAATGAGCGGGGAAAGAGGGGACAACGAGTGGGCAAAAAGTGGGGAACCCTGTTGGGGATTCGTTTTCGTCTTCACGGAGCAACTCGTCTTCACAGATTTCGTTTTCTGAATCCGTCTTGCGGAAGAAGTTCGTCTTCTGGGAGTTGTTTTGCAAAATGCCTCTGCAACCCGCAGAGTGGGCACGATTGATTTGAAAGGATATCACAAGCCCGCCATGTATTGAAGCGGTAAACCCGAGGCTCTGGCAGGCATAAATTCCAACTGGATGTCTTCAGCCATGAACGACTCCTGAAAGAATTGGATCAGTTTGATCAAGTCGTCTTGACAAATCTCCATTGCAACCAATCTAAGTACCAAACATCGTCATTGGTCAAGGTCCCCAAAAGAGAGTTGGCAAAAAGAAGACCCCGTCCTGGCCCCGCTCGAGTGGCGGAGAAGTGCGCCGGGGTCCTGTCAACAAATCAATCAAGGTAGACAGTAGGGGACTTGGATATTGATGCCTTTTCATTTTGCTTATTTTGGATGACACATGTATCTAACCTTGCAGGCTGAGAGTACAAAACAGTGGCAGCTTACATGATCCAGGCTCATCAGAGCACCCATGAATCATATGCCATGTCTGGCCTTCACTGATGCCAGAAATAAGCGGGTTAAGCTTTCATGCCTACCAGTGGAGGATCAGGCCCGACAAGTGACCACCAGCAACCCCGCATCTCAATTCATCTAAGCCATTTCGGGTCAGTTGGGTTTCCACCACATCCACAATCCCATGATGGTATTGCTATCGCAAAGATCCTGCGGATGCCGTGAGGTCAGGTGGCGGCGGGACAAATTGGTTGAGGGTCAAGACAAATCGGCGGTGTACTTGGAGCCGCTGATCATGATCCTCTGCCCACAGCCCACCCAAGCAGAACAGCTACAAGCACAGCTACCAGGCGTGGGGGCATACTAGATTCTTGGCGACCTAGAGTTTCTGCCACCCTGCTTGAAGAACTTATGGGCTGTTCTGTCTTTGGCAAGAGTGTTTCCGGAAATATGTTCAACAAACGACGTCACGCATGCACCGGTTTTAAATAGTGGGCTTGCGCCTGCGATCGCGTGCGTTTCGCCCAGGACATGACCCCCTGGCTGCTCCTCGCTTCCAGCAACGCCTCGCCACGCTCCCTGAACCCGCGCTCGACCGAACCGAAGCCAGCGAGTCGGATGGGTCATTCCCAACGAGTCAGTTCGGAGATGCCAGGAAGTGTCCATATCTTGAAACGAAAAACCATCAAGAAAAGCCGAGCGTGTCCGTGAAAGCTGAAAGAAAGGTGAAGTGAACCAAAGCAGGTCTTCGCACTGCAAAGGCAGGTTTCTGGTCAAAGCCGAAGAGGAGAGTAGAAACGAACCGTTTCCTTGATCAAAGCCTTACCACCGTCGCCACGCGCTGAGTCTTGGAGTTGGGCAGCACTATGCACGCCTCCCTGTCTCACTTCAAGAAGCAGCGGCAGTCAAGTTGGTCATTGGCCCTCATAGAATACAGTATATCGACCCCCTGTCATAGATAGAAGTTCGTAGATCCCCACTAAAAATGCAAACAGGAAACCGAGCCACTATCTATTTAATCTATTTGGGGGACCACTATAGCTGCTTCACAGTGTGGAAGATTGACAAATTGTCTTCCGTCCAAATCGCCACCCAAGTCCATCCTTCTCATCTCAGCTCCAGTTCTGTGCAGTGATCCTGGCTACCCCATTTTCTCCCCTCTGATTTCAGCAACTGGTGATGGTCCTGGAGGGTGTTTCACCATGGTTCCTTTCAGTCTCAACGTCTCCCCCACCTCAAAACGTGCGAGACCTCCTGCACGAACAGCCGCGAGACCTAAGGCTGTTGCCGCGATGCGGTGCCCGGCCGTGCAGCCAACGGTGGGGGGTCTGAGCGGGGTTTATGAGGGCTTGAAGGTAGGGTTCGGGTTCAGGCCAAGTGATTCTAGCTGCAGCCAAACTAACTTCAAGATCGGTACGCAAAGGAACGACACATGTGCCAAAGCTCCTTCTAGGCGATAGTAGGTCGCTTGCCACTCACTCAATCGTCTTTATTCACAATGTGAAGGTATGAGATGCGTCAGCAACAAGAGTGAAATCCTCCTGGGCGCACCAGCTGGCATGGAGGCAACCTCCACCTAGCAGGCAGACGCATCAGACTGGTGATGATGTTCTGAAGAGAATGAAAGGCATGGCCAACTGGGCTCGGCCCAACGATCCGATATTCATATCCATTCGTCCCAGTTGATAAGCCGTGAAGGCCAGTGAACCACTGGCCATGGGGAGGAAATCAAGTTCAAGCCTTAAAAGAGGAAAACACACCAACTTTTGCTGGGTCAGCTCCCAACACCGTAGACTTCTCGAAGTTAAATCTGGTCAACTGACTTCTGCCGGGCGGTTTAACAGCTTTGAAGCGGGGGTCCTTGAAGCGGCGTCCCACCCTACCAGGTTCAACCAGTCCCACGTTGGGTGAGGTTTGTCTCTTGTCTTGCTGTCTTTTTGGATATAGAAGCTGTCCCCAACATGCCACCCCACTGTTCTAGGGCTAGGGTCTATTAGGGTCTTTCTTAAACCAACCGGGTGCAAGATGCTTCCCTTCAAGATCCAGGATAAACACACAGGCAGGAACCCCATGCTCGGTGCTGCTACACGCAGGAGTTGTAGAATCGTAGAACGTGTCTCCAAACAAATCCTCGGGTATGCGGTATGCACCTCCTGCTCGGCCGTGTGGCTCCGGTCGGTGCATCAGCCTCCACATTGTTCTTGAGATGCCCGGGGTGTTTGATCTTCAAACTCAACAGGAGTTCTGGTTCATTGCCACCTTGTCGAAAACCTCACCAACTCACAACTTCCCTGATTCATCACAAATGCTGCAGCTCCATCTCAAAGTACCTTGAAACTTGAAACGAAAAGCCGGCGAATCAAACGACTGGTTTCTTGGTGTAGCAGGGCGAGATACAAACCTCATGCTGGCTTTGGTCCTAGGACTTGTTTGACCATCCAACAGTCCTGCCTCATGCAAATGCATCCCGTCCTCTACCTTTGCGCCAGGAGTTAGTCACAAAGGAGCTGCGATTCCTGGAAGCCTCCAAACAACTTAGCCTCCAATCAGCTCGGAGAGCTGTCACCGAAAGAAAGACTTGGACCCTCGGGGTCTTGTGCCCCTTGTGCCCCTGTTGCTCTTGGAGGCAACAAAGCACGGAAAAGGGTCATGAAAGCCAAACCTTTAAGGTGTTGGCGCAAGCCGCGTTAACAGAGCTGAAGACAGCTCAAACAACATAGGAACTTGAAGAGTCTCATCGTTCTAGCGCAGCTGGTAGCATCAGGCAGCTCATCCTCTGTGGTGCTCATGGAACTGTTCCCAGTGTTGCCACTCGCTGTGGCGTCAGTCGTAGAGCCGGCTGTGGAGTCAGTCGTGGAGCCCATCATCGTGCTTCCTGAAGTCGAGGTGCCTTCCGCTGTGTCGTCTGTGGTGACGCTGAAAGAAGTCGAACTGGTGGAACTGGAAGTTGTTTGCACATTTTCCAGGCTCACGCCAGCTTGGAAGTTCACTTGGTCATACCCGGAACCGACCGCTGTGAAGACAAAGAAAATGTCACCCACCTCCCGCAGCCGGCGTCCACCACTGGAGGCCAAAGAGCAGCTGAGAGCCACTGGGCTGTTGGAGCTGATGAGGCCCGTGGTGCAAAGCGGAACTGGACCAGACTCCTAGGAGACTGGGGAGCTTTTGGAGGGGCAGTCAGTGAGTCAGACTCTGGAGATTTGAAATGATTTGAACATCTTTTGAAGACTTATCTAGATGGATTATGATGGATCATCCCCTGACCATCACTTCGTTCACATAACCAGTGTGGTTCCGCAAACGAATCCCTGATTCCCACCCAGCGTGGGAATAGAAACATCGCCTCGTCAAAAATGTCATAGTCGCCGCTGCTGCGGAGAGCACTGCTGTCATAGACCTCCACCAGGCCCACGTCCGTGCCATCGCTCTTCTCCAGGCTGCTCTCATCGCTGTCGTCGCCATCACCCTGCGAGAGCAAGGAGAGTCTGCGATCATGGCGCGATTGGACAGAACTGGCTCTGACCTCCAGAGTGATGTTCTCTGTGAGGTCTGAAAGGTTCCCTCCCATGACCTTGCGGTAGGTGGCATTCGTGCTGCTCCTCACTCCTACTGGGTGCACGTTAGAGTCTTGCAGCTCTCTGTAGTAGATGTAGGAAAAATAGTTGCAACGTTCCATTGAAGAGCCACAGCCTCGTGTTCGCACCAACCAACCAGGATTTCCTGGTGCAGGGTACAAATTATCCAGTAAGGCATCTTTGATCAACTGGCCTGAGTTGTACATGTCGTAATAGTACTTTCGATTGATCCGACAGCGACCCTCGACGACCTGCCACGCCACACAAGGGTTGATCTGAGCACCATTCGAACCATCTGTTTCAACGACGCCGCCAAGCAGGGGAACCCAGTTCATGCTGCGACATTGCTCGCAGCAGGCCTCAGCATCCGCGATGGTATTGAAAATGAAGCTCGCCTTGCAGCCACCAGCAGAATTGTCATTGGGGTCACAGTCATGATTTGGTGCTTCGTGACCCATGGAATAGATTTCACCCTGCGGCAGGTTAGTGCCACCACCCAGGTCCAAACGTTTGAAGCCACCATCCAGCACACACCGACCACCAGTGTGCAGATTGGCCGCATCAGCTGCTCCCGCCGCGTGACGATAGAAGAGCCGCGCGGTGCCACAGCGGGTGTTCTGGTATTTCACAGACCTGCAGAAAACCGATGTCCGACAGATTTGGGCAACACGTCTCAGGGCTTTATTCACGTACGGCAAGAATAACAATTGGGGGGGTGGACGCCGTGCCGCCTCAGCTCTCGGCAACAGGCGCCAGTTCAACAAAGACATGTTTTAGAGTGTACACTGACAAACAGAACAGCAGGGGAGATGAATATGACATAAGTCCACCATAGAGATCCACTTCAGAACAAGACCCTTTTCCGTAAAGGAGCAGGTGGTCGCATGCATGAACATGTGAAGTACTCTTAGACTTGACCATGCCTGCCAGAAGAGGAATCCATATTGGCATAAATGATCTTCTCTCGATCCACTCTGCATTCCGTACCGCTCAGTTGAAAGAAAAGTGCAGCACCACCTTCAGCCCATGTGGAATTTTCAAAGGACATGGCCTTCAGGCAGCACTCGTATTCGCTACTGACTGTGAAAAAGCTGGAGTAAGGCAGCGAAACACCTTGATAGTCAGGGGCCACATTGCCGTAGGTGGAGCCCCACCCGCACCCCAGCTCTGCGCTTGCCAAGAGCCACTTCCCCACATTGTTGTTGGGAGTGTCATGCTGGCACGCTGGGCGCCCCTCAGCTTCTGATCCACAAGTCCACGGGTTCTCAGAGACTAAGTCATTCAAGTTTGAGCAAGCCATTTGGACATCAGAGATGTTGGGCAACTCCGATGTCCAAGTCTGATCCACACAAGTGATCATGTCTCTGCCACAGCCGTAGGCGGGAAACAAGCCACTCCAAACTCTGCATTCTGCTGGGCGGTGCCGACTCCAGAAGCTTGCTTTTGGCAAATGACAGCATCTCGTGGCGAGGCTCCAGCGAAATAGTACCGGCACTTGGAAGGACATCGAGAGTTTCCACTGGGGTTCAGGTACTTGTCGTCCAAGCGCAAGCGCTCTGTCCAATCAATGGTCGAGTTTTCACCTTCACAAGCGACCAGACTTATCGCCAAGCTCCAAAGGTGCAAGAACCACCTCATGAACCGAAGAATGGACCCGAGCTGAAGCCTTTGCTCGCGACCGAAGCGAGCCTGAGCTGAAACGCAGCTACCACGAGTGACATGCAGACGGTCCACATAGGTGCTTGTCGTGGCTGTCACGTGTGGCAACACACAGTAGACATGGCCTTCACATTGGCCTCCAAGTGCACCTCAGAAGGGAGGAACGGATGGGGCAAGGTGCTGTTCCAAAATTCACACTTTGAAACCTCCCAGACTCAACTCCAACTCCACGGGAAGAACGGTAGAACAGCTTCTTTCGGCGTGAAAAGCTAAAGTTCCTGAGATCTGAATGTGACGTCCACAGCCTCAGTTAGGGCTTGTTTCATGAGCTACGTGAGTAAGCGAACCTTGCTCCGTTCGTAGCGATGCCCTTTGTTACTAGTAGCTTTAGTAATGCCAGAAGCTACTAGTAGCGTTCTTGCTACTATTGACTATTGTTTCATGAGGCTGACATGAAATGCGCGCTCTTAAAGTCTTGTGTTGCACAACTGCATGCAAACTATTGCAGGACAGCTGATCTAAAAAAGGGGCTGCTTCGCTTTTGAGGTAGCTTGCGACAGCCGTGTAGCCAGTTCGATTTCGGCGTATGCTAAGCCACCAAGCCCGCTAGGATCCAGCTCGGCTTTGAAGCTCAAGCATCCTCTCAGCTGGTTTAGTAAATAAAAAGCTTGATCAACTGAGACAATCAAGTCGAAGCTGGAAAACCATGAACTGGACTGGCAGCTGGCGTAAGTTGTAGAATCTTGGGACCAGCTTGTGCAGTGCATGCATGAAGAAGGGTTCACCACCGCCATGCAAAAAAAAAAAAGAAAACGTTTTTGGCCCCTTTAACAAGCTTGTGAAGGCTGAGATGGGTCCTGACAAGCTTAGAGTCAAAGTTTACGGAATGTTATATATATATATACATTAATGCCTTGGTATACGCGATGTTTGACTGCCTCGGCAGGAGCAAAGCTCACGAAGACTCAGGACCTCATTGTCGTCACTTGCTGCGGTGTTTTGTGCGACTGAAATCAGGACACACCTTTCTTGACAAAGTAGAAACCCCACGCCAGTTCAGATGGAAAATGAAAATGTCCCGGACAAAGCATTGAAAGCATCTGTTTGAGGAATTGGTCGAAAATCAGGCCTTGGCATGATGCCTTGAAGGTTTCTCCTAGCAACCAGTCGTGGAGGTCGGACCTTGGCTTCAAGTTGAGACTTGAAGGCCAAACGCGTGAATCAGGAATCTGCGATTGCCTAGCTTGAGTGCAGATTGAAGTTTCTGTAACATGATCGAAATCCCTGCACAAACTAAACGATGGAATAGTGAAGTGTCTTTTCAAGTACAAAGCAACTTGCCAGTCTTCTTGCAAATGCAAGTGTACCCCTCATTGGAATGTGTGCTGGCTTTTGGTTCAATCTGCCTCCCTTGTCACATGCAGCAAATTCCTCTCAGTATGCGTTGCTGTAATTTCTGCAACATACTTGGCTGGTACTAAGACTACAATGCATTGTCACTCCGGACACAAAATCCAGCTTGAAATCCGCAAGCCTATGTTGTGCAACGTCGTTGGTGACAGGGCATTGGGTGTTCCCTTCACCTCTACACCTGCGAAAAGCGACCATATCATTAAAGACTTGCCTAGTCTTTAGAAGTAGAAGGAACACACTCCGACAGTCTGGAAAATCTCTTGTTTCCAAATTCGTTGAGGCAGGATGGGGTCTGATCCTTTGAACTCTTACATGCAGAACTCCCCTTCTCTGTGCTCGTGCAGTTTGCCCAAACCACATCGCTCCCGTACTTGAGGACACCACTTCGCTCCACTTCGATCGGCCCCGAGGCCACGCGATGAGGAGGGCTTCACACCGCAGGTGAAAAAGCTTGCACTTGGGAACCTTCTGTCGCTCTGCTTTCACAGAGTCTGAAATGCCCGTTTGAGTATCTCAGGGGCATGCCTTCTTGGAGCCTTGAAGTCCCACATGTTCAAAGTTGCCAGAATCGAAGCAACAGGTCACAATATGGAATGCAATTCATCTGAATTTCGTAATGGTTTTCTGTAAGCATGCTATGATCCTCAAATGTCTGTCAAGCGTGCGCGATGACAAATGTGTTTGCCAACTTCAGGATTTATCAGCGAACTCAAAACAACAAGAACTGCAATTCTCACAAAAACCTGATCGGAAATCTTGTCAGCACAAGTTATCTTGGACAACTCCGACTGAACATTCTGTTTTCCGAAGGAACGATCGAAGGAACGATGCAAATCAGAAGTGTAGGAGAAAAAGCATCATGGGCCGACTGATTCTGCCGATTCAAGACCATTCAAGGCAATGAAACATTGGACTGTGTCCACTTTGAGGGAGAGGGAAAGGGAGCCATCTTCCAAAAAAATCAAATGGAATCCAACATCCCCACCGGGGCAGGAACAAAAGATGTTGTTGTCTGGATTTTTCCAACGATGCATCCTATGACAAGATGCCAAAACACGCCTTCGTTTGACAAATGATTCCTCTGAAGGTCGCATTTTCAATGTGTTTCCAAAAAAGAACGTTTCACCACACCGAAACACAAAATTCCAACAAACATTGCTGGAAAACCATCACTGGTTTTTGGATGAGTTTGCATGTCACTGCAGCTTCGTGCGTTTTGAGAGACGCTTGCACGAATGAAGTTTGTAAGCGAACTGGTTCTGTGTCAAATGCATATACTTGAATTATTGCGTGCGTCATGTGGCCATACTGGGGGTTCGCACGGTCGGAGCCAAGACCGGGTGTCTGATCGGAGGTGCTCACATCGGCTAATTTGCTGCAAATTCACTGTGCATTCATCTTCGAGGTGCATTTTGCCACAGCACAGGCTGCAGAATCTGGTGGCCAGAGCGGGTGCTTTTTGCCACCGCGCTTTGTGGCGCATTTCGCGCATTTTGGGTCTTGATGACCACTGAAATCGTGGCAGGCGCAAGGGGTCGACCCTGTGTTTTGGTTCGACTCTTCGTGACGCTGCAGGAGATCGGCGTAGCACTTGATTTTTGTGGCATGGCAGGGTGCAGTGAATCATGATTTTAGGACATGTGGTTCGTTTTCAGAAGTCGGAGGTCGTCTTGAGTGAAAGCTGCGTGCGTTTTGGCATCTTGCTACGAATCGCCAGGGCTGACATCGTGGTCCTGATGTGCAGATGCCGCAGTGCTTTATGACCTTGAAATGCAAATTTTGCGGCAGATCCAACACTTTGTGGACCTTAAAGCGCAGATTTTTTCGTGGCACGCACAGCGCTTTGTGGACCTTGAAGCGCAGATTTTGTGGCAGGCGCAGCGCTTTGTGGAGCAGACTTCGTGGCACGCGCAGCACTTTGTGGACGTTCAAGTGCAGATTTCGTGGCAAATGCAGCACAAAATGAGCTGCGGGTATTTTCTGCTGCAGAATGGTGTTTTTGCTGCTTCCCAGATCTTTTTTGCTGCGCTGTTGGTGCCGACAAATTGTTTTTCGTTTTCTGGGGCCTATGCTGGCATAATTTTCTCCTGTAGTTTGCGGCCGTTGTTTTTCATTTGTTTCTTTTCGTTTTGTGTTGGCTTGGTATCTTTGGTTTGCTCACGTGCCGCTTCCTGTGTTTCATGTTTGGTTTGTTTGGTTTGCTTGTTTCGTCTCTTTCTCGTTTCTGTTCGTTGCTTTGCTGGTCAGACTGTGACCCTGCCTTGGCAGCGAAAGAAACCCTCCGCAGCAGCCAAAAAAAACAAGTGGACACACTAAAAATCCCACGCTGGGGCAAAAGCCATCCTTGAGGCTGCAAAAACACTAGCGCCTGGCAGCAGGAAAAATGTTCCAGCCCGCCAAGCCCGAGAAAGCACACGCGCACACACAAGCACTTATGATTATGCGTACTGACTTGACAGCGGTGCCACACGCCGCCTAAGAAACCAAATCCTGAAAGACTGGGCAAAGAGGGGCTGCGTGCCTTTCGTTAAAGGCCACGAAACGACGAGCCGACGGGATGACGACGTTCCGTGCACGACTGCCGATGCATCAGCACTTTACAAAAAGGAAAGGAAGAAATGTGGCCAGCTGCGTCTTACAATGCGCCCAGGTGCACCAAGCAGTGTCCATGGGCCTCCCGCTCCACAAAAAGAAAACACGAACAGTGCAATCCGACGCTTCAGAGCAGAGATACCTTCTGTTCAGGAGGCGTCTGACCCATCCAAGCTGTCCACGTACCTGCTTGGTGCACCGGCCGCGTCATAAGATGCAGCTGGTGGCCACTTTCCTTTTCTCTTGTAAAGCGTCAATGCCTCGGCAGTCATGCACAGAACGTCGTCACCTTGTTGCGTTTCCGCAGTTCGAGCTCGTAGGCTTTGAAGGTTCCTCGGGAGGTTTTTCAGCTGCTGTCTTGGGCGTTCAAACCTAGGTGGGCGTGTGGCAAGTGGCATTCGAATCACGCATTTCTAGTGTCACCTTTGACTCAGCTTGGAGCAAAATGCGCATTCCTTTGGGGAGGCGTGTGTCCTTGCACCTAGTAGTGAGCCAGGAACCCCTAGTAGCGTCAAAGTAGCGTCCTTGCACCTAGCAGTGAGGCCCCCACTCAAAGGTCCCGACAGGGGGAGGGGTTGGAAGAGAAGAAAAAAAAGAGAAGAAGGAAAGGGGAAGATGGTGTTCTCAGCTTCGACACAAGCGTCCAAGGAAACACCCAAAGAAGAGAGAAGAAGGGTTCCCAGCTGTGACGAAAGCATCCAGGAACACCCAAACAAGAAGGGAAAGAAAAGGAAGGAGAAAAGAGAGAGGGAAAAGAAAAGGAAGAGAACAGCTGTTCCCAGCTGCGCACAAGCGTCCAGGGACACACTAGTGAGAGAGGGGTGAACCTGAGTATTGCATTCAGGAACACCTAAGATGACAAAAAGGGGGGAGAGAGGAGGGGAGGGAAGGAGGAAGGGGGCTAAGGTCGCGACAGACTCCAACGAATCTCAAACAAGTTTCGGCCGCTGCGGATGCAATAATCCGACAAATCTTGGCAAATAACTTTGGCCTAAGCCTATTGTACTGTTCGTGTTTTCTTTTTGTGGAGCAGGGGGCCCATGGACACGCATGGGCCAACGAAGACCCATCCAAGCTGTCGTGAAAACGC